ATGCTTGGAGTCTGGGGAGCGGTCTTTCTCTAAGACTTCAATGAGGACGCGCATTCGTCCCTTGTCCCCATAGGCAAATTGGCGATAGAATTCGGTCCATCCACTTCGGCGACGAGCGTTGATGAACCAAAGTGTGCATTGCTCCGCATTCATACGCTTTGCTTTGGGCATGGCTGCCATCTCCTTGACGAGGGTCTTCTTCGTGTCCGCGTTTACGAATGGGTCATGCAGATTCTCGCGGTACCACCTTCGGAGCGGAACGGCATTCAACCTCCAGTCCATGTAGTGGTGCGCGCTATTGCAGTAGTCATCTGTGCCTGAGAGCAATGGGGGCTGTGACGGCCCACAATGTATCGATGTTTTGCTGGTGCGGGTCGCGGCAGAGGCTATTGCTGGACAAGTTGGCGTCGTCGAAAGTTGATCTCGGCATTCCTGCCCCAGAACTTCGATGATTTGCGGCAAGTCCTCATCGCACTTGTGGAAGAACTCAGAAATGCGCTCGACACGCCTGACAGCTGCGATGACGTCCCTTTGCTCGCTTGCATCCAGAGGAGGCAGGCTCCTCAGCGCTTCCCAGGTGGCAGCATACGTCTCGGAGAATCGCTGTAGAGCTATTGGGTCAGGATAAGCCCTCATCAGCTGCTCATCGCTGGTGCTGAGACTAGCAAGAAGGTTTTGCCGATCCATTTTTGATAACGATGGCGGCATCCTTCAGCTGCTTGCGCCTCGAGCCTCAGCAAGTGTGCGATGGAGCAAGGCCGAAGGAGCCTCGATAGGCGCGTCGCTCCAAATTAGGAGAGACTTTACTAGAGCCACCTCGCTCGATGGTTCAGTAGGGGAGGAAGACTTTGGACGACGCTAGTGCGATGTAGTGCTGATTGAGTAGATCCTTCAGCTTGAGCGACGGATACGGGATTCGATCAGATATTGCGAGCTGTTGCGCACACCTCATCGCCGGCTTGCAGACGACGATGGTGCCAATTCGGTAAATCTGCGTACCACGTAAGACGGTCGTGTCTTCCGGAAGCTGACAATTGTGCTGGTTGTGGTTCGTAGTTAGGACTCCCAATACTCGCCAAAAAAGCATGCATGTACCTACTATCAGTGGTAGCCACGAGTATAGAGGTGAGTGTGAGTGCAGTCTTGAGTGGTACCAGCAGATGTTTACCTGGCATGTGCGCACGCAGCGTGTGTGAACCGCGTAGCTCACGACCCACGCGCGCGATCAGAGACCGTTTCCGGGCAGTTCACCAGTGTTTCGGCTGCGCGCGCACTAGGACAAAGGAAACGCGCCCGCGGCAAGGTGTATCGGTCTACGTGCCGCTGGGCGACTTGCAAAGCATGCAAGCATCAATCCACCTTTCAACAATTGCAGAACAAGAACATACAAGATGCAGATGGCGTGCAAGGCCTTCGACACTCACGACCACTACGATTCAATTCCCTCAGGACGTTGCCACCATTCGTATCTGGTTCAATCTCGTCTCAAAGCTCCGCCTTCCACATCTGAGCGAAGACTCACGTTGCTCGAACTGCACGGCAACGGCCTCTTTGAGATCTACAGCAAGCCAGTTCCCCAATCTTTGATTAAGTTGAGCTTGAGGGCATCAGTATCATTCCTCCATTTGAGCTCGCAGACACAGCGCTCGCCTGTCAACAAACATCGCCGCTCGTGCTTCGCAGCTACGCAGCTTCGCAGATCTATCGTGGTGGTCAATCAAGAGGACCTCAACGTCGGCCGTCTCCTCGGCAAGCGCCGAGCGTGCGAGCGCGTCACCTGCAATTGCCAACATCCCCACCAAGAATGCGCCGCAGCTTGGACTGCCCAGCAGCTCAAATGCATCACCCGTCACGGCTGGAATCGTTCAGGTCCATCGAGCTTGCGGCTCGCTCGCTTCTAGACAATTTAGGGGTGGATCCTTTCGGCGCGAGCTCGCAAGAGCAAGAAGGTCGACAGCCGCCCCCAATTCGGACCGCATCGCACGCGGACCTGCTCAGGAGAATCCCTCTCGAACCCATGTCCCTCACGTCAGATACTCGTCGGGCTCTGCAAACTCAGTTTGTGGAGCAGTGTGATTCTTGGGCCAGCTTTCTAGTATCGCGGTATTCGAAAATTCATCGTCAGTTGACTTTGCTGCCAACCTCAGACGCATCTTGGGAGCTATCACTGCATTCTGCATACACACGAGTGTACATCAGCGGATTGTCCACCTTACACGATGCGGTCATCACATGTGTCAAGAGCAGCATCGATCGATTCAATGAAGACATCTTCAATGCTGCTTCGGTAGAGGACATCGCAGATCGCGCCGATTCCGGTGCAGCAGTAGGACCTTCGCACGGTCACTCTAGTTCTGCCACGGCGATATTGGAGAAGGCTTTTGAACGAGCACACTCCATTACAATGGCTGAGAAGCATCGCCTAGCGGCAGCGACTGGCCTCGAGCCACGCCAGGTGACAATTTGGGTGAGTCGGCTAGCCTTCAGATTTGAGCGAGGAGGATGAATCCGTCGTGGAAGGCGCACGCAATCGCCTGCAGGCATCGCCTTTGAGCGCACGCGCTATATTAAGGTACATTAAGGGAGGACAGATGGGGTCATCCAGCAGCACGAGAAACGCGTTCACGACCGTTGCAACCTGGAAATACGTTGGCTTTCATCTGACCCCGTTCGATTGCACCATGGCTAACGGAATTCCTATTCTGCAACCAATGATTGCAACATGCCAGTTTCAGAATCGCCGTAACCGCAAAACGAAGCAAGGCATCCACAAGTATCACGCACGTGGAGATGTGGCAGAACCAGTCAAGCTAGAACCTGAATTCGAGCATGACTCCAATTCACGCCGCGTCACTTCTGCGTCGCTCTCGACTAAGCGGAAAGGCAATGCGCTTCATGAAGAGCGGCTTTTGCCACCGCAATTGCATGCAAAGCGACAACGGCTGCCAGACGGAAGCATACTGAGGATTCTTAGCACCGGCAGCGACGACTCAAGCGTGGCGGATAGCCTTCGATCTTGGGACGCAGACAGCATCGCTCCTCAACAAAGATTTCCTTCCGGTGCCTCGAGCTTAGGTACTACTGTCGACAATTGCAGCGGCCCTAGTACACCTTCCGACTGTTGGAGGAATGACCATTCGCCAACACATAAGGACAGTCACCGCGTGAATTCAGCAAGCTGTACCCTATCGCCGCCTATTGAGCAGCTTCCATTGCACGCCGTCTCCGTTCAGGCCTTCGAACGAAACTACCCTGAGCTTAGCAGTGGCACGTATTCGATGCAAATTTCTCATCACAGCGCCGACAGATTGCAGACTGGGGACGCTCTGCTCTTCGACGCGTACGGAAACGCTCAATTGGAATGGGACGACTTATGTTTAGATTCCCATCTCTCCGCTGCTTTCAGTGCTTCCGAGAGTGCGCTTCTTTCCCAACTTTCGACATTCCATGGTGACTATTACGAATGCTCTGCAGCACCCATCTCTTCGAGCGCAACAACGCCGGCAAAGGTTGCTTCTGACCTCGCGATCGACCCATCCACACACGCAGTGGGCGCTGCCATCGTGGAGTGGCCCAGCGCACCCGAGATTACGTCGCAAATGGCCATGGGTCTCAGTATTGAGTCAACAAGAGACATGTTTGTCGCGATGGAGGATTTAAACGACATGGACACCAGCGAGGACGCCAAACCAGAGATGGCTCTCTCGCTGCCCATGCCCAGCGGCATCTTGGTCAAGAACGGTAGCAGTTCTGGTGCCATTCAGCTCACGCCAGAATCATTCGCATCTTTGGAGAGTTGGACTCATGATGCGTCATCGCTGGAATATGTCGTCGATCAATGGAGCAAGCAACTAGCGGAGCAGCGGGGAAACCCGCCGTTGGGATCCGTGGACACAAATACACCGAGGACTGGTCATGTTCAAGCAGAGAAGATTGCACATAGCCAGCAGTCACAGGCCGCGCATCGCTCTTCCGATGTGCTGATGACATAGCTGACACGAAAGGACAAATGGTCAAGACGCTGGTCGTACTCCACGAAGACACAAGGTCGTTTCGAGATCGAGATCTTCCTTTCTACCGAACGCTGCAAAGAAGAGCTCTCTGTGTTGTCCCGGTCATCCACTCTTCGCTCTTTGCCTCATGTAATTCTACACACGATACCGATCTGTTTTGCTTTGCCGATCATGCGAATGAGAGCCTCTTGCCTGACTTTGCCCTCGCTGAGTAAGCTCGCCGCGGAGCATCAGCGTCGGCTTCGAAATCCTTTTGGCTTCTCCGTCCGCGCGGCCGCATGCCTTTGTCCGATCGCGGCGACTGGCGAGTTGTACAAACGCTCGGGCCGCGTGACCTCTTCGAAGCGAGGCCTGGGCGCGCTTCATCCTCTCTGGCGTTCAGATCTGCGATATACAAAACGCGCTTTGCTGGCTCTTCGAACAAAGGGCCAGCAGAGTAGAGGCTCCGCGCGCGCGTCCACGCACAACTTGAGTGTCACGCTGTGGTCAATGTCTACACAGATGAAGATCCATTCGCGCTTCGGCGTCCGGATGGTCGATCAGCTTTGGGCTTCTTTTGTCCGCATCGGCGCCACTGTGTCGTGGTGCAACTGCTACGACAGCGTCTGCTGCCTCATATCGACAGCGCAATTGAGACCCGCATTTCACCAACTCTGAGCCCATGAGACCATTTCATCAAGTCAGAGCGAGGCGTCTACTGGCATTCTGCCTTGAGCACAAAGGAAGTCACCCAGAGGTCGGTTAGCGCGAAGGGCAATCGCAAATCGCGGATTGGTGCCTATATAGCGCGCGAGAGGCGCGTCGCGCACGTGCAGGGTTTGTGAAACGCGCGAGCCGCTGCACGCGGTCCCACAATCGCTACGGATGGAATGTCCGGATGGACGTGTCAGCTGTGAGCTGTGAGCTGTGAGCTGTGTTGCCCTATTGGACCTGAATGTCCTTGTGGACCTCGCACATAACCCGGCAACGGGCGCAGTCAAACACGTGAAAGGTCATGAGCGATCAAGTCATGGAAGATTGGTGTTCTCTTTCAATGATTCATATGTGCGAGCTTTGCAAAAATCGAAATCATGACTTTCAGTGATGCAGGTCTATCTTGGTGTCTATTGAGGAACATGAATGTCGGTTTCTCTAAGTTTGCATAACTTTATCCTTGTCATTTGCACCCATGCCCAAAACTTGCGTCGCAAGGTCGAAGTAATTCCGTTGATCTTGCGTCCACTCTCTCCCGCTGCACAAATTTCAACACGAATGGTCAGATACACGTGCTCACGCTGACGATGACAAGCAAGGTCGTACTCACGGATTGCGGTACGAGGAGTTGATCAACTTGGATAGCTGGTCTCGCAGGAGGCGCAGTGCCAAAAGCGTCTTCGAATCGGGTATGAAGAAGCGAATGCGTTGACGATCGATGAAAAGACTACTCGAGGTGACCTGTAGATGAGCAGGAGCGTACAAGAGGCGTCAGTCACAAGTCACAACATCGTCCGCCACCACAACGCAGCTCACCTTGAAGTCGGCATCACCACACATCAAAATAATGCCCCTATCATCAACAGCTCCAGTCTCCCAGGCGTAAAGCTTCTTGCTCTGCATGAGCGTAAAGTAGACGAGGTGATTGAAGCCCTTAGGCAAGTCTCCAAGACG